TATAATAGATAATAAGAAATAGAAAAGGCACAAATAGGAAGGGAAAGTGGGAGGGGTAGGGGAAAGGAAAGAATGGAATGGAATCAATATGAAAAAATGAAAACAAAGTCTTTGTAAATAGGGAGGGATGGAGGGGTTAAAGGGAGGGCAGGGGAAGGGGGAAAAATAAGAACCAAGAGAGATTATATAAACTTGCAAATTTCCAGTGATGAATCCCATTGTATTGTATATCTAGAATGTACCCATAAAATTAATAATAAATTTTTTTTAAAAACACTACTACAACAAGCGCAAGTACAATGAAAGAGTCAGAGGACAATGAGTAATGAGAAAATGGAACATGACCAGGCTGATGGGAAGCTTCTCCAAAAGTGGTATTTGAGCTGAGAATTCGGTGATATGCAGAAGTTATTCCAGGCAGAGTGAAGAGCATATGTGAAGGCCTGTGTAGGTGTCAGTTTGTCAAGCAATGTCTCTGGAGCTGATGAAGTGTAGTGTGTGATTCAGTTGGGAGGGCAGGTAGGGACTGCACATGATGGATCCTGGCAGGACCCAATTCTACTGAGTTTGTATCTTGCAATTCATGTGGAATAATGAAAATGTTCAAATCAAGGAAGCAAAGGGAGACGACATGCCTTTTGAGAAGCTCCCTTTGGCCACTGGCTGATGAAAGTGTCATTCCAGAAGCAAAGCAAAGGCAAAGAGACTAAGAGACAGCTTCAGCCACCAGTATGGTGATGGCATAGAGTTGATGATGGACAATGGGATGGTGGTTATGGCAATAGAGGGGGGTTCGTGGATTCAAGAAAGACTTGAAGGGCAAAATGTACAGAGATTTACATAAAGAATTGGCTATGACGGGGACATATAAGGCAAAGGAAGGTGTGAAGTGCTTGCTGCTGGGTTCTGAGGTTTATATCTCATACACTGGAGACAACAGACAAACAGGCTTAAAATGGCAAATGTCTGCCCAGTCTCAAAAGAGGAAAAACATTTTTTATCTTTTATGTCCAGCTGCCTAACATGGCCTTTAATCAGCATTAAATAACCATCAGCTCTGAAACAGTAGGGTAATTCTGGGACATCTGAATATTTAAGTAAAGGAATTCGAGCCTTGCCAAATCCCAAATCTAATGCAAATCTTTCTACCCCATTTCGCCCTGTGTCAATCATGACATTTTCTAACAAGAAGGAGAAATCTACTGAAAAGCAAGATCTCCCTCAGTGAGCACACTGGTCAATCCTTGCCGGGCTGTCTGCTTCAGCTGTTAATTTGCACAAAACAGCTTCTGGAATGAGTCTGTGATGGATCTGTTGCTAAGATCAGCCATCTAAAGTGTACTCATATTTCTGCTTTCTGGATATGATATCATAGGGCTAAGAAAGAGTAGAGAGGTGCAGAAACTATAGCCTGAAGAGGAAGGGGGAAGGGACAGTGGCCACAGGCCAAGAAGAGGCACAGGAACTACTACAGGTAAGGCAAGAATCCAGAGTCTAGTTTGAAAGAGGCCAGGTCTCAACATGAGTCCAGGCAAGAAACAACCACTCTTCAGGGGCCAGCAGATGTGCCTCTGAAAGAACTTTGGAATCTGACCTCAGTTCCAATCCAGCTGAGTAGGATGGGCTTCAGACAAGTTGCTTCTCCTCCTGGAGCCTCAGTTTCTTTTGAAAACATAAAAATCCCATTTTCTGCTTGGGACGCCCTATGCAGATGAAGCAGTTGCACCACAAGTTTGGGAACCCCTTGCCCTGGCTCCAGGTCCATTTGGTAAACACCTAGTTTCAAGGAATGAAAGGCTCCAGACAAAAGCTTATCTCCAGGTTTTTTTTCTTTCTTCTCATTTCCACTCCCCAACTCTCTCGGAGGAAAACTGTATAGGCTCCTTGAGTCCAGTGCAGTAGCTGGCTTGGCTTCCTCACTGACCAGAGGCAGAGTGACTGAGACATTTAAATGGACTTTCCTGTGTGATGCACGCTGCTGTCTCTGAGTCAGTGGATGAGGTCACTGGCTATCAGTCACATGCACACTGAGCTGTTAGGGGATTTTAAACAACATCATGCCAGTTGTTAGCTCATCTGTTAAAATTAAGGTTGTGCCTGAAATGGATTAGTGACAATACTCCTGGACTTTCTTCCAAAAGCCATAAAGATGGCCTCTTGAATTTAGAAAAATGCTGAAATTGTTGGAAAGTTTTATTAAGCTGTTTAGAATTTAAAACAGCAGCTTACAGCAAAGCAGTTAAGAAGTAAACAGCATCTCAGGATGTTTTCCAGTTCCTTCATGAAGCAATAACTCAACATCTTGTCACATTTGGAAAAGGAGGCAGATCGAGTGTCCGAACATCCTAAGTGCCTTTAAGGAAAATACTTCTCTGTTGGGAATAATAAGTCCAATATTAAACTACATGGTTACTTGGTGGGCTACTTAGTGTAGCATCTTAGACACGGGGTATATCTTACAAGTCATCCCTCAGTCTTTTTCCCAAGTCAGTTGGAAGGAATATCACAGGTTTCTCTTAGAAAATTCTTAGAACCCTATTGCATCCATTGCAAGCAAACTGGACTCTGTGTTTCATTTTTTATTGCTCACTTCTGCCTGTATCTATTCTGGCCCAGAACCCCATAGCTGGAGAATTTTTTGGAAGTTTTGTTCACACTGGGAATCTCTAGCCCTTCTACTATTCCCTGTGGATGGAATGGGGCTGAGGTTGATGGCTCCAAACTTATAATCATGACTTGGACTTTCTGGTGGTCAGCCCTCATCCAGGAGCCCAAGAGTCATCACCTTAGCACAGAAGATGCCCTTATAACCCAGGAAATTCCAAGGGACTTAGGAAGGCGCCCTATTCGAGAAACTAGAATTGAAGATGGAAGACTGTAATAAGACAAAAGATGCCCCTAGCACCCTTGTTGCTCAGAAAATTAATAAGGGTTTTGGAGCTGTGTTCTGGAAACTGGGAACAAAGACTAAACACATATTTCTTATTATATCACAATATCATAGCCATGTTCCTGAATGGATGAATGAATGGATGGTTTATTAAAGTGAACTCTGAGCTAAAGCCTTTCCTATAACAACACAACACAACACAACTGATTTTACTTCAGAATCAAGATCTTAAATATTTTTCTTAAGGAGTAAGAAGACAATGAGTTTGCTTATCTCAAACTTAATGTCTTTTATAGGAAATTACTAGTCTCTTCTACTTCTAGAAATGATATTCTATCCCAAGTCCTTATAAGACCCAGTGTTTTGCAAAACCATTTGTCTTTTTATGATGATTTGCCCATCTCTTGCTAAAGGTTATAGGAGAGACTCCTGATGCAGAATCCATCTTTTTAAAAAACTATTTATTTTTTATTTTGAAATAATTCCAGATTTGTGAAAACAATTCAAAAACTGAACAAAGTATTCTTCTATGTCCTTTACGTAGATTCTTAGCAAATTCTAAAAATTCACAAATTTGCCTATCTATATATTGATCATCTATCATCTATATACCACTATTTATAAACACACAGGGACTTGATTTAATGTTTGGATGAAGGCTGCACATGTGATATGCTTTCATGCATTTTCTTCCATAATCACCATTCAATGATCAAAATTAGGAAATTAACATTACTTTGATACTATTATCTAATCTGCAAGTCTTAATAAAAGTTCACTAGTTGTCACCCTAAATCCCAGGGTCCAGATCTAATGTAGAATCACACATAGCATTTGGTTGTCCTGTCCCTCTGATCTAGGATGTCCCTTTGTTTTCCTTTAATCTACAATAGTCCTCACCCTTTCTTTGTCTTTTGTAATCTTGATACATTAGAAAAGTAGAAACTAGTTACTGAGTCAAATGTACCTTAATTGGGGTTTGTCTAAGGTTTTCTCCTAATTAGATTCAGACTATGCAATTTCAGCAGGAAAACCACAGAAATAATATTGTATCCTGCTCAGTGCATTATATCACAAGGCATGGGATGATTTGTCCCCCTTTTTTGTGATGTTAACTTTAATTGCTGCATCAATGTGGTGTCTGCCAGGCTTCTCCACTGTAAAATAACCATTTTACTTTTTGTAATTAATCAGTATTTTGGAGGGAGATACTTTGAGACCATACAAATATTTTGTTTCTTGTTGTACTTTCACCCACTTATGTTAGCATTCATCGATGATCCTTGCCTAAAACAATTATTACTGTTGTGGTTGCCAGTAGGTGATTTTCTGTCTTTCTTGCTATATTTATTAGTTGGCATTCTGATGTGTCTTTTCCATCCATGTCCTCATTGCCTAGGTCAATCTGATCCAGGGAAGACATTATTTGGGTGAGTTATTTTACTTAGTTACTTAATGTTATTGTTAGGCCATGAGAAGCAAAGACATTGTTCTACAAGAGAAAACATGCACACATACTACAATGTGCTGTTCCATAAATTTTAAATGAATTGTGACTTAAATAGGTCTTTAAAAATTAGCGTAGGCAAAGGAATTTTTCAAAAGTCCTCAGAATAAATAAACTGTGGTTCAAAACCCCTTTCCTAAGCAGGGTAAATGTGTTAGCATGAAGCCTTCCATCCTCTCCCTTCTCCTGGGGAGGGTGTCAGCTCTCTTAGCAGCCGAGGACTGAATCACATCTGGCACCATTTTTTGCTTCTAGATCAACAAATTACCCAGATAAAACTTAACATTGTGATGGCACAGTTGAGGAAGACTGGACAATTTTCACTGACAACTTCTTTTTACTCTCTCTGCTCTTTAACTTCTTGCTTTTTTGTTTCTCCATAGTCCACTGACAAATGAAGCTGACCTATTTGCTCCCTCTATTGTTCTTTAACTCTCAGGAGATGGACATATTGTCACATTTAGATATATATGTTAGGATCATAAGAAGGATTAAATAAAACGATAGTGCAGATGATACTCACAACTCCTTGGGGATACAGACACCACCCTCTCTGTTCTCGAGCTGCTTGGGCACTGTTTCTTTGTCCTAAAATTGACCCTCACTGCTGAGCAGTTTCCCTCATGACTCAGCAGCCTTTACCTTCACTCCTCTGGGGTTTTGCATCTGGGCAAGAGGCTCTCTTTCCTGGCCAGTCTCTGATCTTTCTTCCTGGAATCCTCTACTGCCACATCTGTCAGCTTGAGGTCTGTGACCCCATCTGGCTTCTCTCCTGGGCCACTGGCTGGCTCCCAAGGACAGCCAGAACTCCCAACTTAATGATCTAGGGTCACATTGCTTCCCTGTCTATCCTGAATTAATAGGGGGGAAAAATCCATCTTCCTTGTGGTTTTCCAAAGAATTTAGAAGTTCTCCAAAAGAATTTCTACCAAGAAACAAAACAATGATAAAACAGAGAGCAAATGGTTAACAAATATCTTAAAGGCATCCTGAATTATATACTAAATTTAATTTTGAGAACAAGTTTGTTAAGTGGCCAAACTAAGAATACTAGAGCTCACAGAAGTAATCACTATACCATCCATCAGTTTTTGTCTTTTAGGGAAAACCTTTGGCAGGGTGGTATCATTTTTGAGTTGTGAGTGCTTTCTGCTCCTATTTTATAAGAAAGAGAACAAAGCATAGTCTCGCAATATCATAGGCCTCCCAACTTAATAAAGTTCAAGTCTATGCCTGTGCTATTCACAGACAAATCTTCTAGGTCTCACCCAAAGTCTGGAATAAAGTAAGTGATCCAGTGAAAAATGCACTTGAATTTTCTCAAAACACTAATTTCCTAAACTTTGTCAATTCTCTGAATTTCCAACAGCTGGGCACCAGAACTATAGCTTCAGAACTAGAGATAAATGCATATGCAAATAGACATCTCTGGTTGAGTATTAGAAACTTACAGCTGTTAAAGAAATAACAAGGAAAAGTGTCTGGTGTCCACCTATTAGTTCCTTAATATATTGGAAAGACTGAGGGAAAGTTATAGTTTATTGCATATAAAAATCCCAGAACCTGAGATCACCAGAAGATTGAGTGAAGACAACTGGAACTGTGGAAGCCGGAATGATATGGTAAACAGATGTCTTGAGTGACTTTGACAATGACTGCATCATTTCTCATGAAGGAAATCAAGCCGATAATTGCTGTCTGATTTCTACATTCACTATGTATCTTCTATTATTTTTAGACAAAACTATGAAGTCATCTATTAGACTTACTAACATTGAGGCTTTGGAAAAGTAGTTCAATGGCTTCTTTCTCCCTTCTAAAATAAGAGCATTACTTACCAAATGATATTGTTATGAAGGTTAAATGAAAGATGGTACACAAAACCAGTTTGGCCCTTTGAAGAATGTATTAATTTATTCTTTCTTTTCTCTTTTTGTCCATCTTGGTGTAGGTAGAATTCTAATAATGGTCACCGAGTTATCACACCTTAATATTTGGAACCTATATTACATCACCCCTGATTATGTTATATTAAATGGCATGGTTGCCATTAAGATAGAAAGATGACATGGGAAGATATCTAATTCCTATGAGCCTCTTTAAAAAACAGAGTTTACTCCACCTGCCAACAGAAAAGGAATGTGAAGATGTCCAAGAGCTTTTCATCATCAGCATTTCATACTGGTTTTGAAGATATGATGGGAAATGAGAAGCTGAACCTTCCCTTTCTGAAAGCTACTGAGGAAATGGGGACCCTGCTTTTATCGCCACAAAAAACTGGATACTTCAAACAAGCTTAGTGAGCTCAGAAGTAGATTCTTTTTCAGATCCTCCATATAGGTTTCTCTTCTTCTCTTGATTGGATCTTTAAAGGATTTTAAACAGAGAAACCCTTGAAGTACACAGAGACCTCCAAACTGGCAAACATGTGTGATAAAATGAGTCTTGTCTTAGGTCATTAGAGCTTGTGGTTAATTTGCTAGCCAGCAATAGAAAACAAACCAACCTTC